TGGTTATTTATCAATTGATGAGGAATTCTAATACCGGTGCCAATCGACACTTCAAACGGTCACCCAGTCTTTACATTAGCTGTGACTCACGTGAAACCTATGCTAGGATCAGCAATGCATCCTGGGATTTTTCACTAACTGTACTGACATTTGAAGAATGCTTTACCACACCATATTGATAATTAAAACAGAATATTTGGCCAATCCATTATATATTTTCTTAGTATTATAAATTATTTACCATAATAATAATTCAGGCACTTTTAAAGGCTTTTAATATTGAATCAACTCTTCAAATCTTATGAAAACTATAAATGATTTAAATTCCTAAATTTTTAACAAAGTTATATAACACAAATTAGTCCTATATTACTATAGGACTAATTCGTGCTTCCATAACTTTGTAAGTAAACATATAAAGTTGTTTGTAAGTAACCTTTCTTTCTTAATACTGGACAAAATTCTTAGATATTGTTAATAATTATTTAATTTCATATCATATATTTATTTGTTATAATTTAAACCTTGCAAATGTTATATTTACTAGTAAAGGTGCAAGATCTATTAGCTACTTTGAATAATTATTGTATTATATTTTTAATGTGAAGTTGATGAGTGTTAACAAGGTTATTGCTAGAAGTGACAGATGTCTGAGTGACCCGAAATGACCCTGAATGGCTCAATATGAGCCTATAGGCAAATGTTGATGTTTTGAATAATATATTCTCTCACTGATGATCAAATTTTTAGTGCATAGGGAATTTTGATTATGCAGTGTAGAAACAAAAAAAAAGAATAATTTAGAATATGAATTTACATAGTAGCCTAGGCAGGTTTGGGTCAAACTGATCTAACAGTCCACAAACTTGTACGCTGCAAAGAACTCCCAAAAAATTATAAATTAAACCAAGTGTCTCCACTGTTTTTAGCGATAACATGATTAGACACTAGCCTGTCTTTGGATTAACCTAACAATTTTCTGACAATATCAGTAATATCTGTACTCTAACTTACTAAATAAGAGTGCAATGCTTACAGAATGTTTTTAAGGCTTCAGCGCTATGCTAATTTAAGATAGGTCCTTATTCAAGTAGGGTGTTTATTATTATTACAAATGCCTGGTTTTGTTGGAGTGTTATAAAGTTAGAAAGTGCAGTTTGGTACTGTCCTACTGTAGCTTACTTGCTGCAACGTTTGGCAGAGGTCCCAAGACTCCTGGAGCTCGCGGTTGTCTCCCGGAAACTGGGACGGCCTCCCGCACTACCGCAAGCAAGCAAGAATCTCCCGGAAATAACCTATATGTTTTCACCGCTTTTTATTATCAATTGTCTCATGAAAGTCAGCGCGAATGGGTATGAAAATGTGCAGCAAAATAAAATTAAATGTAAATAGAGCTCAGTAACCAGATTAGTGATGATTCAAGGGGATCCTCTCTTAAAGATTTTTAAATTATTGAAAAAAAATGGGGGGAAAAATGATCATATTCAAATTTAAGTCTGAGAGTGCCATTTCCGGCCATCTAATCATACATTTTCTTATCTCAGCCCCAACCATGGTATGGCTGAGGTAGTATAGACCCTACATCTGTGAAATCACCATTCTCACCCCCCCCCCC